TGGGGGCTTCTCGACAGAGGTTCGAAGCGGAGCGTGTCCAGGACCGTAAAGTAAAGGAGTAGCAAACGCTATGTTAGTATGTTCTAAGTAATCCGTTCACCGCTGTGAAGCGGGTGCCGGAGGAGAGCTGATGCTCGGGGGGTGAAAATGCAGGTGGGGCAAGGCAAGGGACAGGTGCCTACGTGTGGTTTTGTAATTGTAAAACTCTTCTTGAGTTGTCAAGCCCCCGCAGCGAGCGAGCGAGCGCGGGAGCCAGGCGCCCGGAGTGTCCAAGGCCGGGTTGGAAGCGGCGCGCCAAGGCAGGCAGAAGTCCCATTCTCTGTCTTTTGGTGTCTGAAGTTTCTCGGTGCTCTGGAGTCGCATCTTCAAGTTTGCCCTACAGCGATGAAGATCAGAATTTTTTGTTGTTGTTGAGTAAAAACTGATTCAACACGTGTCTCTAGGAGATGGGGCTTTAAGAAAAGCACGAGTTATCCCGAGACAGTAGACTTGGCAGTAGCATCGATGCCTGGTAACACAGTGTGGGATATCGCTAGTGATGTTACAGTATTTAAGATAGATGTTTTCTACTCTGAATAAATACAATGAGACTTTCCCCATTACATATTTACTGTGCTGTGGCTGTCGCATCAAACCTCTGAACCCTGATGAAGACCCCATACGGATACCAAGGAATTAATTAGTAATGAGTTCAGTGATTCAAACTATCTGTGTGCAATGCAAACAGCTTATGCAAACATTTTCTTGTGAAATTGGACGGCTTCCTGAAGTGTTTGCAACACAGCACAGTCAGAAAAGTGCTGGAATAGAAAAGACCTATTAAATACCCTGTCCCATCTTTCTGCTAATAGAAGAGTTTTTGTTATAGTGCACAATGTGGTATCCTGGCTCTACAGCTGTGTTTCTCATTTGATTACGGCTCATATCATTGTGGCTGACTCTGAAGACTTTCTGAGATTTCTTGAAGGCAGACAATTGGTCTAATATGCTGTTTTTCATTCTGAGCGGTGCTCTTTGGCACTGCCCTTGTCTGTCTTCTAGGCTTTGCTGTTCCACGCTGCTGGGGTTTCTGCTCCGCTGCGGTAAGCAATCACAGGCCCGGGCAGGAGGAGATTAGGGATGTTAGCAGCACGAGATGCTGCGACCAGATGTCCTTCCCGCCGATCAGCGGGGTGGAGCTCTGTGCTCCTTTAGCTGTGCTATCCGAAATACATCCAGCAAAATGACACGTTTGTGGTTACAGCTGCACACTGAAGAAGCAGGTTGGGTTTATATCAGCTGTTATGAATGGTAGTCAAGTATTTGACCAAAAGTTGCAGTGATTTCTGAGGAGGGGAAGGAGCAAGGCGTTCACGCTCCTCTCTGAGGGCAGGATGAACTATAACAGATTTATGCACTGGAAGAAGGCAATGCTGATATGTTCATAGCATTCATTTGAAAATTAAATGCCTTCTGAATTGTTCACTTGGCCTTTTGATTTTTTTTCCACATTTCCCTAGGAAAGATCAGCACCTACTTTCCCCTGTGAACTGCTGGTACCTGGTTCTGACGCAGACCCGGCGAGAGAGCAGAGATCATGCTACCCTGAATGACATTTTCATGAACAATGTCATTGTCCGACTATCACAGATCAGTGAGGATGTCATCAGACTCTTTAAAAAGGTAACCAAAGCAGTGATGTAGTTCTGTTCAGTCAATATTCATCCTTACGTTTTCCTCCAAAAAAGGGAATTTACTGAGGCTTTCTGCACAAACTGGAGGCTCTTTGAAGATAAAAGATGAATCTGCTTATTGGGCATTTAGACTTTTGAGATTGAATTTAGCCATGTTTTTGTCATGGGAATGTTTAGAATTATAAAACAATTTGAAGCGTCCTGGTGAAAATGCAGACTTTAAAACAATTAGAGAATAGCATGGGTTTGTGATCCCGGTCTGACAAGGCAGTGAGAATTCTGACGACGGAAATAGAGCCAAAGTTGCATCCAGAGCTGCAGTCAGCAATTTCAGGGTCTCAGGCACACCCACATCCCCCCAGAACAGTGTAAAAAAATATTAAAAAAGCCAACATGGTTAAACAGCAGAGAAAAATAACAAGACTTTCTAAGTAGTACATGTTGTATCTGAATGAGCAAAATAGAGAATAGTTTAAATTCTGACAAGTGAAAATGTTAAAACCAATATGTCAGGCCAAATGAGATTTTCAGGGGCAACTTACTAAAAACGTAAAAGCTAACAAAAACTTCTCCAAAACCACAAGAAAGAAATCTGCCATGGAATGTGAAGGGGGCCATAGGTGACTAGGGTGCAAAAAAGAATATAAGGTAATAAATAGCAAAAAGCTAACTGAATTCTTTATCTCAGTATTTGTTATGGAAAAGGTTGGACTAGAGATTTTCTTTGTGGGGGAACCAATCCGAAGAATCTTCTCCAGCTGAATTGTCAGTAGATGTTTTAGAGCAAATCCATACAAGCGATTATCACTTCTCATTCTTTCTAGATGATATTAACACAACAAAGTTAAAGGAACTGAGATATAAAATAGTCAAATGACTAGCTGTGATGTATAACACAATGCTTAAATTGCCATCAGTGCCAGAGAAATGGAAGGTGGAAAATATGATGACTTTTTTTTTTTTTAAAAAGATTCCTGAAGGGCTCTTCAGAGAGCAGATCAACAAGTCTGACTTTAAAAACAGGTTGTTGGGTGAAACTTTAGTAAGAGTAGAATTAGCAGGCATTCAGGCAGATGCAACGGAAGATTCAGTGTAGCTTTCTGAAGAGAAAAATGGTACCTCAGAAATCTACTGCGGTTTTTAAAGGAGTCAGTGATCATGTGGGTGAGTTTGGCACAGTATCTTCAATGTTGAAAAGGTCCCTCCCTGAAGTTCTTAAAAAGCTGTTTATTCTGAAGAATAAAGAGCAATTGTTTTCTGAATTAGTGACTGGTTAAAAGACAGGGACAAAACAAAGGAGATTTTCAGTAGAGTTCTTAACAGGTCATTTGGAAAAGGGATGGATAGTAAGCTGGCAGATTCTGCTGATGATACAGAATTATTAGTGATAGCCAAATTCAAAGTGAGCATCAAAGACTTGCAGGGATCTATCTCACAGTCCTTGGTGAAGTACCTCCCAGTGAGGTAGGCCAAGATTCTGCAGTTTAAAAAGACAACGGAGTCCATAAAAGGATAAGACTGTAAAAAGTCATAAGCGGTTTGTAAAAAGTGAATAGGAATCAAGACTTCATTTTTTTTCTGAAATATAAGTTGTGGATAGTTACCTGGCACCAGACAGAAAGAAAAGGTAAAAAGAAAAGTACTTTTTTTACATCATTAATGCTATATATATTGTATTACAACTGGAATACTGTGGATTGTTGTTTTTTTTGTCCCAGGATGATTTTGAATGCTAAATGTGTAACCTGGGTTCTGAAGCAGTTAGACAAACGTGTGGAGGAGGTACCTATCCACCGCTATAAAACCATGGCCCAGGTGCAAGTTCAGGCTTGGGAATCCCTGGCCTTCAGTCTGCTGGAAGTCATGAACGTGCTCAGTGGCCCGTCACTTGCCCTTTCCCTTCACTCCTCTCCTGGGCATCTGTTCCCGCCCCCCCCAGCCATACTGTACTGGGCTAGATGGACCTTTTGTCTGGCTATGCTGCTCTTCTTATATTTCTCGTCATTTTTGTAGCTTGTTTTCCACAGAGGTGGCTGGACAATTGTACTTGAGTGAGCAGGGCAAGTTCTGTGGGATGCGTGACTTTCCAAATAGTAAAAATGTGCTAAAAGCAGTTGCTATCTTAAAATTTTAGCCACCTAGAGGGTAAACTTAATGTGATAGTTTCGTGGCCAGAGTCCGCTAGTTTATAGATTAGACCTAGAAATTGAACTATAAGTGCAGGTTCAGATTGCTGATCTGATATGGGATATTGTCCTTTTTTCCTCTCCCTGTGGCCTCCAGAAATTGGACAGATTTGGGATTTATTGGTTGAGTCAGTTCTAAATCAGTCTCAAAAATCTCTTTCCCATTTGCGTTTTCCTGTGAAACCTGCTTTGAGATGCATATTAAGACTTTCTGCCTACCCTTCCTAAATCCGTGAATGGTATATCTCATTGTAAACTATAGTAAGACAAATCCAATCAACATCCAAGCAAGGGCATAAATACAAGGTTTTAAGTATTTTCCCCGTAGTAAGTCAGTCCTCAACCAAGACAAAATGATAAAATATTTCATCCATTCAGCACGAATATTTCTTTGTGTTTGCCTCCCTTCCTCCCTCTTCCTTTTTGAATTTCAATTTTAGCTTTAAGACAAAATGCTTATATTTTATAGAAATTGTTCCTCCTTGTTTCTCCCTCCCCCATCTTCTGTCTGCAGAGGTAAAGTAGTTTTGACTCCATCTGCAGTGTGCCAAAGGCAGCACCTGCTTTTAATCAAAAGGAGGCTGTACAATTGAGTTGTTGAGATCTGTGATTTCACTTGCGTTTGTCCCTTGAGGTTTAAATTGTAGTAGGACTCACGTGTCCATGGAAATAATGATCAGCTAAATCACTGAAAAGGCTTGTTTTGTGTCATCGTTTGCCCTTAATGTGGATAGGGAGGCTGACACTTCTGGGGATAGGCAGGTTGTTTCTTTAACCTCTTGTGTACCGTGCCCAAAAGAGGACATGGAACTGCGTTTCTCGTTTTCCAGCAATATTTTGGTGAGAAAATTTAGGAATGTGTATGAGAATAAGAGCATCTTGGTAAAAGGCTTGTTAAGACATTCAGTCTAGTCCTACAACTGGTACTAGGTTGTTCCGAGGATGTATCTTTCAGTATTTTATCTGGTCTGGTTTTAAATATAGTAAGTGAAGTGCTTCGACCTTTTCTCCTGGAGAGACTGTGCTGTAGAAGAGGACTGTTAGGCAAGTAAACCAGCTCCAGAAGGGTTAAGGGCGTCTGCAGTTGTGGTTCAGCTGTTTGGTTTTGTTGTAGATTGCTCTTTGATGGTAAATTAGAGTAATGTTTTTTTTCCAGAGATGTCGCTTTTAATTCCTCCCATCTAGAATTTATTAATGGGTTGTGACATGCTGTGGGTACACAGAGGAACTGGAAGGTTTTGTGTTTTGCGCTTTCATTATGTAAAAATGTAAACAATCGCAGCAAAGAAAAGGCTATGCGATATCTGGGGTATGAGGATGTGCCTAATGGAGAAGCGATTGATCAGTAGGGCGGTGATTTGCCAACAAAGATGCCGAGTGCTGAGCTGCTTCTCCCCTTACCTTCTCTGGATATGCTTAGCACCGCTGTGGGTCATTCATCAGTAAATTGGGGCTTTGCGTTTTGTTCATCTCCACTGAAGTGTTTTGCCCTCCCAGTGACCTGCAGCATATGGTCTGTTCCACTCGTGCTGATGTTCAGCCAGTCATGGGTTAGACGCACATTTCATCATGGCCGGCTGGAAAGCCTTTTGGCTCACCCCACACCCAAGAAAGATGGAAAAATTTGAGGCTCTGAGCTAGTGGGGATTAAGTTTTTAGCGTTTTGAGTTGGAGAGATTTAACTGAGCCAACTGCAGGCCTGATCTTTCTCTGAGCTGAGGCCAGTATGACGGCTTGCATTGGCCTCAGCAGGACTTACGGAAGGTATAAAATGGATTATCAAATGCTGTAGGAGAAGAAGCTATATTGTTTCTCAAATCACTGGCAAATTTGGTTTTGCAGGCTATAAGCCTTCTCAGAGCTCGAGCCCGTAGCTGGGTGGCCTCTGCTGTGGCTGTGTTTGGTAACAGGACAGCTTTGCAAGTTGTTTGGCCACGTTTATGCAAGCTGCAGGTGCACCTTTGAATTGCAATGATACCTTGAGATTGCATGCTTTAATCCTAAAGGAGGCAATATTTTCTCCAAAGCTGAGAGAGGAATTCACTTCTCTCTGCTGCTGGATGAACTGCAGGATGATAGTTTTTTTTTTCCCCCGTAGAGTTCAGTTAATGCTGGTAATATTTGGATCGGAGTGTTTCTGTCTAATTTCATGTCCGTTTTCCACTTTAGGATCAGTTCTTTTTTGGTTTAATAAGTGCCAGCTTTGCTAGCTTTGAAAGTTGGCCTTCTAAGGAAAAATGCAACCCCTCCTCTCACTGTCCGTTTCCTTTTAATGTCGCAGAGCACTGTGAAATAAGAAAAAGCAGGCTGCAGCCCCTCAGGGAATCGAGTTATACTGCAAGTTGTAGAAATCTGCAAAGGACTCGGTAAGGGCTAGTTTTTCAGGACAGTGATGATAGCACTTAGGTTTTTGATGAGGTTTGATGGGGTGGAAAACGAGAAGATTTGCTGAAGCTGGTATTTGAAACTCCTTCTCCATGAGAATTTTAATACGGAATCAGAGATAATTCATAAAGATGTTAAGTTGGTAAATCATCGTACCTCACTGAAATCAGTGGACTCACTGTGATTTTTCCCTAGGCACCACAGGGAATATATATCTAGGGTGTCAGCTGACCGTTTGGCTCAGCTTACCTAAAAAGGAGAAGACTATTTTTTAGAGAAGCAGCAGGAGAAAAAAAAATTCTCAAAGTACATACGTTTTTAAGGGAGGGTAAAAAGCATTGTTAGTAAGGTGGTCCTGATAAGTGGAAATAGCTGGGAATCCCAGGAGAAGAGAAAGCTAGATGTTGGGAAAAAAAAC